GCTACTGATGAGGTTACTGATATGTTGATCACTCCTCTGCGCTTGATCCGACCTCGACCTGTAGATTAAAATCCACGAAGGGTCCAGAAGGGTGCCAGCTCGTTTGTGATGGCAATGCCTTCTTCTTTTCTATTCATTTTTGGATTTCGAGAGCATATCCACAACGCCTCAAATGTATTGCCTACTATAGTTAGGGGCTTGTGCGATAAGATGGTGACCGCAGTATCAAATGTGGTATTCTCATGGCAGTACCTGCTGTGAGCACTCAGGATGTTGATGATCAACCTTTTGCGAGTCTGTTCAAGTGCTCTTTTGATTCGGGTGCACAGAGTTCGATCTGCTTCGCCTACATACTCTTCATCAAGACTACGCCAGCCTTCATGCAATCTCGTGGTCTATGTGTGGGCATATCACGCAATCAGGAGTTGTGCAAGTGCTATCATAGGCGCGGTTTCGTATTAACTGTTTTTTGAGGTTGGAGGGATGGATCCACAACTCCAACGTAATCTTGAAGATTGATTGGTGCAGACATGTCCCTGCTATAAAAGCCTCGAAATCCTTTTTCTACATGTGTGCGCACCCATTTGATATCGCAATGCGAGCAGACTCTGCCATGAAAATACCACATTTGATACAGGGGTCACCATCTTCTCGCACAAGCCCCAAACTATAGCACGAAAGACACTTGTGGTGTTGTAAATCTGCTCTCGAAGTCCAAAAATGAATAGAAAAGAAGAATGCATTGCCATCACAAACGAGCTGGCACTTTTCCGATCCTTTGTGGGTCGGGGTCGGGTCAAGCGCGGAAAAGTGATTAACATATCAGTAACCTCATCAGTAGCGGCGCTGCTTTGCATTGGTCGCTTCCTCGTTATCATTGCACTAACAAACAAGTCAATGCATGTCTATCAAACCCTCACTCATTTTCATTTTTATCGAGGAGTGGTGGTTTATCGCAAGGACTGATTTTTTGCGCAGCTGAAACCTTCAAACAATAGAGAGAGCGAGTGGCATATGCGACGGTAAAAATGGACCATTAGGGTCTGCGCACAGATTAAAGGCACGTCCACCCTAAGTTAGGGGTGTTGAGCTTTTAGCAGCATAGAACAGTAGGGTCTTTTATCAAGCCAATTCCCATGCGCCGCAAAATGCCGCTTCGGAAGCGAGAAAATCGCTTCGGATAGCAAAGATGCGCGAGGACTCCATCCATGCCCGCCCATTTGTGCGCGCTTATCCAATCACCGTTCTAAAAAGCCGGCCTGTGGGTTCTCTGGAATGGGGGTTTTCGGGATTTTCGCGGATTCTCGACTTCATATTCGGAATAGGGACATGAGGAGGCCCTAAACGACAAAAACCTGGAAGTCGAGAATCCGGGTGGACGGTGCCTTTAAGCCCTCCGCGCAAAACTTGCACTTGTTCTATGATTTGGCCCACTTACAGTATGCATACCGTAATCGTTCAAAATGACACCAGTGTACGAAGCGTACAGACTATCCGTATTAGCGCCCCGAATAACCGCAACGGTCGAAAATTCTGTCAGTTTTGTGGTTTTCTCAATTTTACATATAGCTACTGTAAGTCCGCCATATGGATCCGCATCCAGAAATGCATTGTCGAGAAACTCAACCGATATTTTTATAATTCGTATATTCTAATTCTATACATCATACTTGCAATGTTCAAGCGCAGCAGCTAGTCTTTTTTCTGCGCGCGGCAAGCCCTTTCTTTGCACGGCTGCAGCTGCGCCAAGAATCAGGTAAAAAGTAAGGGGAACGCCGCAGTTGGCGACCTCCTCCTTTTGTTCTTGACTCAAGCGTCATTTAGTCATCATTGCTTCATCTTATCTGTTGCCTTATATTCATTTCCAATCTTAGTGCCTCTAATTACTTTCACTTCTGTCAATAAAGGTTAAATTACCCAAGTTTGAAGTATCTCCTCGTGCACAACTCCGTCACTCTGAGGACCCGCATGGCAGTTGATATTTTGGTGACATCGTCAAGTGGTATTCGACGATTATAGTACTGACTATATATCTCGTCCCACCCATTACATGCCTACCACTTTTGTGAACAGCACCCCTAATAATCCCAGTGTACAAATTTCGACCAGTATCGTGAGTTTCTTTCGTCTGCCGAGAACATACCGTCATCTGCCACATATCACCGCAGTAAGAATTGCATGCAAAATTCCTGATCAGCGCCCCGAATAACTCCACCGCCTTAGCTTTGGCCAATTTTGTAGACTTTTCCTTCTACCGTAAACCTACCGTAAGCTGGCTATATGAGCTCATGATGAAAACAAGTACCATATTCGTGATCAACGAAGCGTAAAACCTCCAAGGGCCAAAATTTTACAAATCAAAATTTTATATACACAGCGCACCACGATACACCCCCATCATGCCTGCTGGAACTACAAGCAAAATGTACTCCGGAGGACTCTTTAGCTGCCCCTTTTCTTTTGTGCGCTATTTCTCTTTCTCTGACCAAACAGATTATCTCTGAGTTCCACGATAGACTGGGACGCGCACCAAATTCAGAGCTCGTTGCGCGTTTGGTGACGCTGTTTCTTGTGCAGAACGATTTGGACAATGTTGCTCTACTAAAAATAAACAACCGATTACGGAGTATCCTGCCACGTCATCACTTTCCAGATTTGGTCTGTTCAAGCACCTGTTAAAGGGCTCAAAAAATTATCACAGAGATAACTCGAGATAGTTTCTACAGGTTTAATACCGACGGATCCTTTGCCCAGTCGTTGACTGGAGCGCGACATTTATCAAAGCCTATCATTTTGAGCTTATTTATGGCCCAAAATACGAGAAGAGGCGATTTTTGAGCGCTTTAACAATTCAAACCATAACTGCCCAAAGCTCATGTAAACTAACTCTCCGATATTTATGCTATGAACCAACCCATTTGGTTTGGTCTCAAAATCTGAGAGCATGTACTACACAAGTATAGTGTGGACCCCGGCCAGCTTCCCATAGGTATCTCTGCGACGCGCCCGCAACGCATGCCTTCAGTGCGCCTTTCGTTTTGCTTCTAATGAGAATTTTTATGCTGTTCTCTCTTGACTTACCTAGTTCTGTTTGTGAACGCTTCATTTCAGGTGTAGACGTTCAACAACTGTCGATGATGGATTTTTACGAGTCTTAACAATCTTGAGAGCTGTTGTCTCAAAATTCCACGTTTTTTCTCAACAGCGAAGATTTCAGTATTAGTGGAAAAATTTTTTAGAGGTTTTTATTACAGACTAGGCGTCCCTATCCGATTGATTTTTAAAGTATGACTGCTTCTAGTTCTTTTGTGATACGTCATTATGTAGTGCTTTGCTTGTACAAATGTGCTATCGACGTTACGCTCTTTAGCTATTTTGTGACCTCAGAAGGAAACGTTTTAAAAGGGATGCTCGACTTTTTGTTTCTTCTAGATTTTCAAACACCAGTACTTCCATACCAGCATACAGGAGACTAACTGGAATCTGCGCACTAGTGGCAGTTATGAACGTCCTCTTCTTGCCTGGGCTGTTTTCGAGTTGAGACTAGTGGCTTCCACTTGTCATTTTACTCCTATCTCACGTAGAAATGCTTTGTAATCCATGAATGAAACGAGAAGCGTCGGGCCGAGCGCGCATTGCGTATGCGTCGCGGCGGTACCTACGGGAAGCTGGCCGGGACACACACTGTAACCTCGAGTCATTTGCAACATAATGTGTGATATTGCACACTAAGACCTATTAACGACGGCACCCATACTAGCTACTTCCCAGTAAAACATTAGCCTAATAAAATGTAGAAATGTGTTCTACTAACTAACATATAACCAACTATAACAAAAGAAACAAGGAAAAAGGAAAAATCACTGGTAATGAGCAGGTTCTAGTTTCGCAGTTCGTCAGTCAGCGTGTATGGTGTGCACTACGCATATTAAGTTACAAATGACTCGACGAAGTTTTCGAAACTTTTTACACAATATAGTTGAGAGTAATGAAATCATCTTTATTTTAGAAACATTTCAATTTTCGCGCGTTTGTGAGAAAGAATCTGTTGAAGCATGTCAGCCATGTACCAACCCGATGGTGAAGCAGGTGAACAACATATTTGGAGGTCGGTGTAAGTATGTTCAACATGTTTTACGATATTCCCTTTTCTATTTGCCTCAAAACGAATTCAGTTTGGCTCTAGTACGTGCTGAGCCCTGAATGGGTAAATATTTTGCAAACCTAAGTTCAGGCCAGCTTTCTCTTATGAATATACGAGAGAAAAGAGCAAAGGACAGAATTTCTGTAGCATAGCTGGCGGAACCATAAGAAATCAATTGTAATCTGACTAGTTAGTAGTTTATGTTGTTGGCCAGTCTAAGTTACACATGATTTCACCCTTCGGTGAAATGACCTACTTACTTCCTTTACTTGGAAAGGACGTACTTTTTTAAGTTTGTTACTTTCGAAGCTGTTCAATACAACGAAATAGGGAGTGAGGAGCGGTAACGACTCTTTTGGAACCTGTAAGAATTGAACTTTTGGAGCACATTCTTTGTAGAGTTATGTTGCACACTTTTTCAGCTACGAAGTATCAGAAGTATCGAGGCAAAACCCGCTGCAGCAGTGAGTGCTACGCGATTAAGTGATAGCTTTGAAAAAACAAATAATGGCCGTCAACCATTTAGCACTACGAAGGCCAACTCTACTAAACGTTTGCGCGATTATCTAGTTTTGCGTGCGCTGGGTGTTGTGTTAAGCTGGTAGTGCAATGTGATACATGCTGCCAAGTAATAGTAGAATGCTTTCAACTTATATTCCCTAGCTGTAGATTCTTAATACAACTCGAACTTTTGAATGCTTTCGCAAGAGCGACTTCTGCAATCAAGAGTAGAGCACTAACTAGAAACATTTGTATGCATCTCCGTTTTCCTATTTTACTCCGCTCAAATTTCATCCTTGTATGGTAATAATGATGAATGACCTAGTTTCAGCCCAAGATCTTTTTTCTTCACAAAATGAAGTTGTTGCTGCTGACATCGATCGTAGTCTATTCAGCGGAAACACAGTACCCCGCGTGCGTCAGCAATGATGGCGCAAATGTGGTAAGTGTTGTTATTCCTTTCGTAGTCCTTGAACGCGAGCATGTTGCTTCAAAAGGTTTTGTCTAATGCCTCATAGACTCTCGATAAAAGTCAAGGACCAACGATGTTGCATATCTCTGCCGAACTTCAATATCGAAACTTTTCGTTTTCGCTGCTTTTACAAAACGCCCAAAATTCTTTTTTTGTCACCTTCGTTTCTGGCCGTTGTTTGAAGATTTCCTATGTCACTTCTACGTACCACCAGGTGTTAAAGTGGTCGCTGTTGTTTTTAGGCTTGAGAAGGTAGGTATTGTGGTGCAGTTACCTCAATTTCTCTCTTGTATTATAAATAGCAAAGACATCTACATCATTCGAATCTCCCTTTTAGACAAAGCTAGAATGAATAAACTTATCTGAATTGAATAACTTCCTTTCCAAAAAATCTCGCCCTCTTCTTCCGCGCTCAGAGAAGCTTTTAGCCAAAGGCCATTTATTAGCCAGCACAAGTCTTGCAAGCCAACTAGTCACAGAACCTCCATTGATTTTCCAAGACTTCTCTAATTGCAGATCCCGATATCCTGTTACTTGCCTCAAGATCTTTCTTCCCTTTCTAAATACACTCTTATACACTTTTAAAATTCAATTACCTTCTCTGCTCTGACCTTTTTCCGTAATATTCTCACACAGGATACCATCAAATCTAAGCACCTCGTATCTAGTTTGTTGCCCTCTTTTCTTTATATTGACTTTTCATTGCCAATGTGCTTCGAGTTCCTCATTCTTTCCAAAGCAATGCCCTTATTATTCCAACAAATCCTCCTCGAAAGTTACATCGTCGCTACTTTCACACGTTCCCAAGTTGAGAATGCTGGTAGATTTTTTGCAGCCTTCCTTTGTTTATCGTACCAGTGCTGGCTTCAAGCAGAGAAGAGTACGAAAAAGAGCTGTCATTACAATACTTGCATCTCTCAGTATCGGTTTTAATCGCTCCTTGCAGAGACGTATTTTCTGCAATGAAGAACATACTAAGAGGTTCTAAATGCCCCTGTCGCTGTTTTTATTTCAATATGTGACCAATCATCCGGTGTTTGCTTTTGGTGTGGTGTCACCTCGTTCAGCGGAGACCGATATTGCTCTCATATCTAATTCGTGGTGTCGGAGTAGTTGTTAAATATGCTGATAGCTACTTGGCGTACTTGCTTCAATACCTTCTCTGCGTAGCAGACAGCTAAGAACGACCGAATCAAGCGATTGAGCTTGAGGACGAAAATTGTCAGAGCGGGTCCATGGAAGATCTGAAATTCTTCGCGTCGTATATCCCTTCTACTTAACCAGTAACTTGAAGCTCAGAATGAAGAATAAGCCCCGGCTAGAGGAATCCCACTACTCCTAGCATCAGAGGTGAACCCTTCCTTAATAAGCTGAGAAAAGTATAGCAGACTATCGCGCCCATTGAGCATGTCACACAAGCTGTTTACGAAGATTATCCTACTTGCAAGGGTACTAAATAGAGCCAAATCTTATATATAAAGCTGAATGTCTGTTTGTCTGTCTGTATGTCTGTCTGTCTGTCTGTCTGTATGTCTGTGTGTACGTATGTTCCGAATAGAAAATTCCATTTCTGAACCGATCCGGACCAAACTTGGCACACATACACTACGGGCCCCGGCGGGTGTCATAGGCTACTTTTCGTCATCGATCGATATCGATTTTATCGATTTTTATCGATTTTTTTGCTGAGTTCACCTACGGGGCTGGGAGTTGGCACAGGGGGGTAATCGAGCATGGCGATTCCGAATACAATATTGGTTTTCAGGATTATCGATTACTTTTATCGATTTTATCGATTTTTTTGCAAAGTTTGAGCTACGGGGCTGGGAGTTGGCACAGGGGGGTAATCGAGCATGCTGATCATCCCCAAGGGGGGTGATCAGCATGCTCGATTAGACCCCTGTGCCAAATTCCAGCCCCCTAGCTCAAATTTTCAAAAAATCGATAAAATCGATGAAAGTAATGGACGATCTTGAAACCAATATTGTATTCGTAATCTGCATGCTCGATTACCCCCTGTGCAAACTCCCAGCCCCGCAGGTCAAACTTTACAAAAAAATCGATTAAATCGATAAAAGTAATGGACGATCTTGAAACCAATATTGTATTCGTAATCTGCATGCTCGATTACCCCCCTGTGCAAAATCCCAGCCTCGCATGTCAAAATTTACAAAAAATCGATAAAATCAATAAAAGTAATCGATAATTCTGAAAACTAATATTGTATTCGGAATCCCCATGCTCACTTCCCCCCTGTGCCAACTCCTAGCCCTGTAGGTGAACTCTGCAAAAAAATCGATAAAAATCGGTAAAATCGACATCGATCGATAACGAAAAGTGGACTGTGACACCCGCCGGGGCCCGAAGTGTATGTGCGCCAAGTTTGGTCCGGATACGGCGGAGCCGGGTAAGCCAGCTAGTATGAAATAAGCCAGACATCGCAAAATATTTGGTCAGGGACAAAAATCTTGACAGTCATGGGAGTTACTATGTTGGCAATATCCGTTCACTCTACCTCTCTTATTTTGTGGACTAAAGAGCGTCAATTGGCGTGATTTTGTAGCGACTAGGTACTTTCAGTTGTCATCCTTACTAAAAAAAGAATTTAAAAAATTATAATAGTCTTTGGTACTTTCTGGATATGGATTTTCAGCATAAGTAATTATACTCCGGAAATGTAATAGTGATATTGCTTGAAGTGAAAACAGTATGAAGGAGATAATTTGAAGCCATTACACTTATTACACCCAAATTTAAAAATCGCGCTTGAAACTCTTCTAAGGGGAATATTCGACCTGCTGATAACGAGAATGATATTCATTTTACATAGAAGGGCTTTTTTCTAGGGGTCACGGTAGGCATACGGTATGGGGCCAAAATCTCAGATCTTCTTGAAATTTTGCAAAAAGGGGTCAATCAACATGCTGATTATGAATATCACTCCTTTGTCGCATGAAAATACCCGCATGGTCACGGTAGATTCATGGCAGGGACAAAATCACACACTTCCGTGAAACCTCGCCTAGGGATTGTTTCCACTTTAAATAAATTTATCATTTTGATGTAATCTAGCACCAGTTTCCGGGTTACGTTGGGAAGGTAGATAGATAAAGATTCCAAATCTGCTCAAAACGTTGCCTAGAGGGGTTAAAGCGTGCTGATAACGAATATCATGCTTACTCGCTGCAACAACGCCCAGAGTTAAGATAATTTGCATTGTATGGGTAAACACCTCTCCCTCTTTTCAGGCTAAATTAGCTCCCAAAAATTCAGAAAAGGCCTTATTGCTAAGTGGGAACGATTTTAGTGCTAAGGACATCAGATTCCCTGCACAAAGTTTTAGGCAGATTTACGATTTTGATCCTCTTATCATATACCTACTTCTACGAAAAGGCCTCAAAACGCAAGAAGACTACAAATTCGTTATCAGCATTTTAAGTAATCCCTTCATACCAAATTCCAGCCAAATCTAGAATTTGACCCCTTATCGTGCACCTCCGTGACCATGCAGGTGAACGTTATTATGCGATAAAGGTGTGATATTCGTAATCATTATCATCTCGAGTGGCCCCTCTCTGCAAAGTTTCAGGGAAATCTGAGATTCTAACACCATACCGTATGCCTACCGTAACTCCCTGAAAAATGCCCTGTCATGCGAAATGAATATCATTTTTGTGATCAACAGGCAGAGTCCCATTAGACGAATTTAAAGCGAAATTCATATTTTTGAGTTCGTGTTGTTTTAAGTGAAATAGTACCAATGACTTACACATTCTTTCAGTTTTGTAAAACTGTTTTCTTTCTAAATTCAAACAAATTTCAAGCATCCGTAAAACACAGCATAGTTTTCTTTTGGCTTACGATACAATCTCTCATCAGGCCGCATGCACGATATCCACGATTCCTTTTCGGGAAGAGGTTCGCAGCTCAAACAAAAACTTCATATTTTGAAGCTCCAGATGTCTGAATCTCGCGTTGTCTGTCCCACAAGTTTCCCACTGCCCCTCACTGTGAGTATATCAAAAAGGGCGCATTTGTATAAGCCGCGTTCTCCAGCCTTTTGCCTTCTGATGATCCTCAGAAACCGACCTTCTTTTCTTCTAAGCCACTTTTCTTTCTTCAAATTTAATGATAATCTATACAAATTTGGGACGTTTTCCCTGACTACAAAGAAAAAACATTTTGGAGAGACGGTTGGTCGCCGGGGATCACCATTGGACCGATTTTTTTTTCGATGTGTTTATGGTGAAGGGTAATAGGAATAATGAATAGATACACAGCGTGAAATCAGTTATCTAGAGCTTCTAGAAATGAAGCTTTCTTTTGAGCTCATATGCCCTTCCTAGCGGAATATTGATGCATGCAGCCCTTAGAAGAAGAATTGAGTTGTGCCAATCAATAGCTGCATTGCCAGTTTACTCTTTTATGATCCGTCACTAGGCAGATTGACACCGATATCACACACTGCAGCTTCCAATACAACAAATTGCAGAGAGCTTCGCATTACCCTTTTCTTCGAGGAGCGAGCTGGTCAGCTGTAAACGCCTTCAATGAAATTATAGGTGTGAGTCAAACTTGTTGAATTTTGAGTTTTCTATGTGATCTATGGCTTTGGCCATACTTTGCCCGTGTTGCCGGTGTTGAAAGTGTTGCCGGTGTTGAAAGTGTTGAAAGTATTGCCAGTGTTGAAAGTGTTGAAAGTGCTGCCGGTGTTGAAAGTGTTGAACGGAGATCATCAGTCTAGCAGTTTCATTCTTTCTCGAATGATCTCACCGGCTGGTGAATACGTTGGAAATGGAATTGGGGAATGAGAAATGAAACTGAAATGAGATGGGGAATGTTTTCGCATGCAAAAGATCCTCAAACAAACTTTTTGGAAAGTGAACGGCTTGTCTGGAATAGGCAATCTCCAATATTTGGGAAAGCTGACGTCTGAGTAGTAATGTGTTTTAGTTCGAATCCTGCCGCGCTTGCGATTAGTGAGTAAAGGACCTAAGTGAGGTCTGCAGCGTTTTCCTATTCCAGACAAGCCGTCCACTTTTCAAAAAGTTTGTTTGAGGATCTTTTGCATGCGAAAACATTCCCCATCTCATTTCAGTTTCATTTCTCATCCCCCAATTCCATTTCCAACGTATTCACCAGCCGGTGAGATCGTTCGAGAAAGAATGAAACTGCTAGACTGATGATCTCCGTTCAACACTTTCAACACTGGCAACACTTTCAACACTTCCAACACTTTCAACACCGGCAACACGGGCAAAGTATGGCCAAAGCCTATCTGACATTGTGATCTGACTAGAAAGTCCTAAATAAAGTTTGATATTAACAGTGCTTTTAGAAGTATAACATTACTAAAGAGGACCGCGACGAAGCCTTAGATAAATGGGCTGTAGACAACGATTTACTTGTAAGTGGAAGTGATTCAAAAGACACGATTGTCTTCTATGTTGCTGTGCTAACACTCATTCAGGACGTTTACCGTAAATACAGGACCACCGTAGAATCAGCCAGAGAAGAACGACGGAAGGCAATTCTTGGCACGCTAGATTACTTGCGAGGGTTTTTTGAAAGGATTGGAGAGCTTCAAGCTAATAAGGTGGGAGAGCAGTTGATATTAGGAGCTTGAGTCACGCAGATTTACAGAGTTACACCTGCACCCAGGAGTCTGATGGAATTCGTGAGTTATGCTCTACGCTCAACTTTCTCGAACGTCGGCTAGTTGATACCCTGATGTTCGCGTACAGGACTGGCTCAAGTGAAAAGGTCAAAAAGGCACTGAGATTGGTTCCCGACGGCAATTAGAAAAGCGCACAAGTTTTTACCTTGAAGTGGTTATTTTGTGTCTGTTTAATGCGCCACAGTTGCACTACTAGAAAACTCTTGTAAATAAAGATTTTTCAATGTTTTATTGAATTAAGTAATAAAGAGAAAAACTTCGAGCAAATGTTTGATTCCTTTTAATGAATCTTCTCGCTCATTTGATGTCTCGCAGAGAGTCACCGGCGTTTGCTAGAACAATATTGTCAGATGCTTCACCATGAATTCGTGATATTTGTCCCATCTGCAGATACGTTCTTAATATGTACTTTTGTAGCTATTAAAAGCTGAATACACAGATCTGCACCTCACTTTTTCCCAATCTTCTTCTCCACCGACCGCAAGCTAATCCGTATGCAGTAGTCAGGAGCAAGTTTGATATCAGCAGGACGACTACTACTGATATTCCGTAGTAACCACCTTCTGGGGCAAATAGCATGCAAAACCACTAACGAATAGAGCAATAATAAAATGAACTTCCGTCGTGTCATGCGAATAAACGTTTTCAGGTCTATCAAGTACAAAACCAATGAACTGCATTCAGCGGTTCATTCCGAAAAATGCAATAGTTCCAGGTCAAGGGCCGGTATACATCACGCGATTTCATCGCTTCGGAATATCCCCAACAAGACAATTGTTACGAATTCATTGAATGCCGATCATAATTCGGCTGTGATAGTCTTCCGACACGACTAATCGCGGCTAACTATTACAACCGAAGCGCAAGATGACCGGCATGCACTGCATTCGCAAGTTTTCGCAGTTTTTGGGGGATTCGCGAGGCGATGAAATCGCGTGTATGCCCGGCCTTTGGGCTTTGGCCATACCTCACGCGATGTCTGTCGCGACGCGATCTGGCAATACTTCAATTGTTCACAACTCATTGTGCGTGCGTTCTAGAAGTGCTGAAAATAGGGCATTTAATCAATCTATGCGCTGCTGCATGACGATGGCGCAATATCTTTGGGCGCGAACGCGGCTTTCAGCCGCAGGACGTAGGAGGCGCGGGATTTTCAACGGTGATGATACGCGCGCGCCGAGTTCGCGCCCGCTCAACTAATGCTGCTTCTGTGCCTTGCCATCAGTAACCTTCAAGAAGGTTGTATAAACCATGCACTTGCAGTCTGCAAGTGATGGATGTGAAGACATTTGGTAAATTGCCATATTGCATGGCGACTAAAACCGCATGGTAGACCGAGGTTTTGTGCGAATTTAGCCCTAAAACAGCGATTGTGAAGAGAATAAACTGAAATCCGCATAAAAGGCGAGTATGATGAGCGTGAATTTAAAAACTAATCGATAGAACTTGTTGTGCACAAAACTACATCTTAACTTAGCTTTTTCGCCTTCATCAGCAACGATTTACCTAAGCTAAGGCATACCTCTCACAATTTCGCGTCGCCACATCTTCGCGACTTGGCGATTTGCCAGATGTCTAGAGATTGAGCATGCGAGGCTTCCAGATGCATAAGTGCGTAGATCCCGTAAATTGTAACAAACTCAGCAAGTCTGGTCCAAGCAGAGTGCGTTTACGACCAGCTATGGAGAGTCGTTGCAGTGCCAAATCGCGCGGCGACTAAAATCGCGTGAGGTATGCCTTAGGCCTAAAAAGCCAAGGATAAGCAGATAAAACGCTAGAAAACACCCGCTCGGGAACTCGCAATGGTCAGAGAACAGATCAAGACAGGTCACAGTAGAAGAAAGAAAAAGGAGAAAGAATAGTGAAAGAAAATTGAATATCAAAAACAAAGCTGGAACTGTAAATGAAAATTCAAAGCGAGAGGACGCAGAAAAGTTGACGCCGGGGTGAGATATCTAACAAGGCTTTTTTCGAAAAAAAGAGGGAAAAACCAAGGCCAGAAGGCGATATGAAACTGTCTCTATGCTTAAGGATAGGTTTTTGACCGAGGCATCCGTCTTTATAAAAAAAATCCGAAACCTATGTGAAGTGACACAAATATATGCTCCAGACGATCTCGGATCGTCTGATGGCCGTCTGGAGAACAATTTTGGAAAAGGTATTTCTTTACATAAGTTTTCAAATTTTTTCGCACAATTTCTTTCGAAAATAATTTTCTATGTATACGGTTCAATTTTGGTGTCATATGATTCTGTGTGTGCTGTAAACAAGCAATTTGTTTATTTTAGCCTTGCTTTCAAACCGCGTGCACTTTTCGCCATACACGATAGAGCATGTCAATTGTATGATAACCTGTCCGAAAAGCTTGTGTTCTAATGGCGCTTATCCTTGGTGGTCGGCCGCGATTCCGCAAAAACGGTAGCCCCTTTGCTTTTTTGGGCTCAAAACGAAGTCCAGCCTGCTTCCAGACGATCTGTGGCGGGCCCTGGTGGTGCCCCATCTCGGGATCCCGTCCATAGCTTCTTTGGATAGGAACCTCCAAACCGTTGAAAAGGCTTTCGAATTTCTTACTTGATCAATAATCGGAGTGCAGAAGTATAGCATTAAACAAGTTGTGGTAGGATTGAATACCTCATATTATTATAAAGCTTATTACTCAATTTGCTTTATATTTACCGAAAACACTTGAAGAATAAAGAGTGGTGAAAATAATCTCCTAGCGAAGTATCCACCGGATTGCGCTTGCGCAACCTACAATCGTGAGAGCGAACCTTGTGTCTTTGGAGTAATACTTACCTCTAAAGTGTGAGAAAACAGAACATAAATTTGATAGCAGAAATAAGCCCAGAAAAAAAGCTAGGACATGACACTTTTTCTTTGTGCTGATTAGTTGCGGTAAAAGATTTTCCTCTTTTGCTTGTGTCATTACTTCGCGCCTAAATGAAAAGTTGAGCTTTTAGAAAATTGAACGAAGTTGGTCGACCAAATGTTTTACGAGAAAAGTTCCTTTCAGAAGCTTTTGTTGCTTGCGCTGAAGTAAATTACTACTCTCAAAATTGTCTATGATGCAAAATATAAGTGGTCTGATGATCTGACAAAAAAAAACAGCATGTCCAGTCAATCTTGGCAAAAAATGCATCGATACTGCAGAAGCTTAACAGATTGACATAAAACACGGCGCTTTACATCGTTTCTAACAACTGATATAACTTGGAGTTGAAAAAGACTTGCTAAAACGTTGCATGAAGCAACAACTTATGTCTTTCTAACCACCTTGATGAAAAAACTCTTCAGTTGAAATTTTGTGATATCTTATATGAATATTAGGTTAGTGCACTTCAAAGTTTGTAGCAAATGCTTTTTTTGCATGTCGGGCTATTTCCAGTAAAATCGATCTGCCTTATTCCAGTAAAACAACGTTCGACGGGATGATGTCATCGAACTTCTCCGTTTGTCAGCTTCTTTTTACGATTGTGAGTGATTTAACACGTTTCGGACCGGTGCTGCACATGGTGCAGCACGCTGCTTTGAAGGATCTTTCTGGTGTTTACAGAAGGTTTCCTTTTAGTCCAAACTTGTTAAGTGAAAGGTCTAAGCTCCTACTTTTCAAATGACTCTGTAAAGTTGTGCTGCCGATATTTGTTAAGGAGATATGAGCACGAATCGAACAACAGTTGCAACGGAGTGCGAACGCGAACGACGCGTGCGACGTCGCAACTTTCCTTTGCTTTAATATCAAAGAGAAAAACCGTGATTTTGATACTAATGTGTACCGTCTATAACATAGATACTTTTGGATACTATTAGAAACTGAATTCTTCTTCCTATCTTTCAGGAAAGCACAGGAGTCCTTCACAAGCGACAAAATTTCAGAACTTTGGGTATGGAACTTATCTGAGAAGCTGATTACAATGTAGCACACAGCCTGCGAAATAAGGTCCCTTTGCTGGCTAATGGCTGAAAGTGCACTCTTTTTCGCCGCGCGCGATTTCGCGGTGCGAAACGTGTTAAGATTTTTCAACAGTATACAGTACAGCGATAACTTCAATACAGCGTAAGCTTGCCTGCGCTATACAAACCCGGGAAATTTATGTTCAGCTAAAATTCCACAATGGGTTACAACGCACATGTATATGTTCCTGCATGAAGAAGGCGCAATATTTTCGGGAGCGAACGCGGCTTTATCAGCCGCAGAGCGCATCAGTCGCAGGCTTTTTAACGGTGAAGATGCGCGCGAATCGCATTCGCGCCCGTTCAACTAATATTGCTTCTAAGCCTTCATCCTGCAGTAGCCTCTGTATTTTTACCATTTTACCATGCAAAAAACAGCCTTTAAAACCAAGCACCTCATTTTATAGAGATGTAGAGGGAAGGGAAGCGTGTCAGTCAGGAGTCTTAATGGGCTGGAGATTCGCACGTTATCGAGAATATCCTCATCAAACAAACCCATTTTCGATAGCAGCAGTAGTAAAAAAAACCGTGAATTCGAGTTAAATGTGCAAAAAATGCGGGTTTTACTATTTTTTTGGGACCTAATATAAGGAAGCTTGCTTCATCAGAAATCAGTCAGCAAAGTCATCAAAAATCAAACCATGTCGGCTCCAAATTCGGGTGATTCCTGAGCATATCCAGACCGCATGTTTCGCTATGATTGTGCAGCTGCACACCAAACTAGGCTGGATGTTGTTCTACATGCATATATAAAAAAATTCATTGGTTTTAGGGTTCAATCACCTTTGATCGGGAGCATTCACAAGCCTGAATAAACACTAGCGCAACAGATATAAGGGCTAAGCATTGTTACTAATAATACGCCAATGCTTGCTCAACACTTTCTGCCAGCTTGCTGCCGTTAACATTTCTATCAAGCGGTTTCCTAATTGCCTAAATTCTACCAAGCACGTTAATCAAGAAACGTGGACCTGGATCAAAGTTTTATTGTGTAGCTTTTTTTCAGAGATCAACTTGACTTAAATAATACAAAAGATTTTATTTTTTATGTAGTCATCCCCAGCTAAGAACATAGCGCTATGAAATATAGTAGAATGAAGATGAAGTACATGAAGAAAAGCGCAAGACGGTTTTAGCCTTCTATAAACTCTTCTTTTTTAAAATAGCTTGCATT